TATTCTCTAACCGGTTCAATCTTTCATGGAGCTCATTGTTATGTCACATAATTAATTCTTCCAAATGTTGTATCAATGCTTTCATTTGAAATGGACTAATTCCTGCTTCTTGATTGTAATTTTCCTCTTCTGCCATCAATTTGATGTTCAAACCCTTAAACCAGGATTCTGATACCAACTGATATGAATCACAAGGGGTGATTTAGAATCTTTAGGGTTAAAACCTTGTAAGAAATTTAGGAATTTAGTGATAAGGTGGAAGGAAATAATCACTCTTTCCAAGGAAGACAACTCACAAAAGATGTGAAAGTTCTTTGATACAGCCAAGGGTTCTTGAATCACTCAAGAATTTAGGAGAATCACTCTCACTAAGATAAAAGAGATAAACTCTAATAGTTCTGAATAAAATTCCACTTGTTATTTTTGATAAAAATGGTTCAACCTATATAGAAGCTTTGCCATCAGAATTACAAAGATTTAATAAAGGAAAATAAATGTTAATAATGATTCATTAACCTAGGAATTGAAAACTACTTAATGGAGACAAATAAAGGCTAATAATGATCCATTAACCTAGGAATTAAAAACTACTTAATGATTTATTGTAATTGAAATTGTGACATCCAAATGTCAATCAGTTATACACTCTTTTGGTCTCTCAAAGACTCATAACTAAATTTTCAATTGGGCCCTTATTACAACTTACAATAAAACCAAACTAAAGTCCATTAATTGATTAATCTAAAACACAATTTGGTCAACCAACAATACTTATCGAAGAACTTTTTTTGTTTCCCTTGCTCTAGTCCTTATCATAGGTCATGTTCACACACAGATTTTTATTATATGCAAAAAATTACAAACCATCGTACCTAAGTTCTGCATATATATACTAAAATGAAAGATTTGTTAACCTGTAATCATGGTTAAACATAAATAGGTCCAATGATTATGATAACAAAATATGATGCAACTGAATGAAAAACACATATAACTCTTAATTTTGTGTCTTCTAACAGAGTTGAACATTTTGTTTTTAAATATGGAAGATGAAAAGTTGACTTACCAATTTTGCTAAGATGCACTTCTTGAGGATCTCCCAAGTGGATGGATGGTCGAACAAGTTTCAGCGTGGTGTTTCACTTCTTGAGTTTCTCCCATGTGAAAGGTGAAGTAAGTTTTCTTGAGGAATGAATTGGAAAAGAAGAGAGTTAAGAGGAAGGTGATTGGAAAATGGAATTTATACTTCTTTGTCTTAATGTCATTTATAGAAAGAGAATTGACTCCACTTAACGTCCTCAACTTTGCCTTAATTATTATTATAATACCTTTACTAAAAAAAAATATTATAAACAAATAATAAAATAACATGGTGAAAAAATATAAAAAAATTAAGATAATATAAAATATTTTCTTATTTAATATATTTAATAATTTATTTTAATATTATAAGAAAAAAATAAATAAAAAGTCAAAATTATAAATATACATTTTAATGATCAATAAATTTAGATGAACAAAATTAAAATATTGAGGTGATTTCCCTTACACCCAAAAAGTTCACCTGATATTATTCTAGATAGTGGTATATATATATATATATATATATATATATATATATATATATATATATATATATATATATATATATATATATATATATATATATATGAACATGACATGTTTTATTTTGTTTTTTTTTATTATTATTATTATCAAATAGACATAAATAATACAAATATGGAATCAATTTCGTAAATAATATATTTAAAACAAAAAATTACCTAAATAGAATATGTGTAAGTTTTATTTATTTAACATATTTATTATTATAAACAAAATTTAATAATGAAAAATAAATTCCTTTATATAATACATATATTTTGTTTTCTTTTCTCATTTATTTTTCTACTTTTCTCTTTTTTTCATTTACTTCTTGTTATTCTTTTTTCTCAATCTTGTACTTGTTTTCTTTTCATTTTTCTTCTTCCTCTTTTGTTTTTTTTTTCGCTCATCTTATTTTTTTTAATTAAAAATATTAACTTAAAATTTTATAAAATGAGTATTTTTATTAATTTTAAAAAGTAAAATATTTAAATTATCTAAATTATAATTTAATATATTATATTTTAAAAAGTAATAAATTTGAGATATTACAAATTGTTATATGTTACAATTATTAAGAAAAAAGTAAATATATATTTTAAAGTAATTTTTTAATAAATATTTTTTTTAAATTACATGACTCATCTTCATAACTCAACCTAATTATAATTAGATTAAATTATTAAATAATAAATAAATTTAACTCATAAATATTTAATATTTTTTAGTTAGATGAGTAATTAATTTATTATGATAAAATAATTTAAAATTATTTATTTATGTTATCATAAATAAAATTATTTACTGTTATAATAAATAAAATGATTTATTGTCATCATAATTTTAAATAATTAATTGTTATTTTTTAAGTTTCAATATTGATTTTAAAAAAATTATATAATTTTTTTTACTTGTAAGGAGAGACATGATATGTATTTTCTTAATAATTTAACATAAAAATTTATAATACCTCAATTTTATAATATAATATTTTTTAAAAATATAATATATTAAATTATAATATTTTTGGATAATTTAAATATTTTTATTTTTTAAAAATAATAAAAAAACTTATTTTATCAAATTTTAATTTAATATTTTTAATTAGAAGAATAAGATAAATAAGAGAAAAACAAAAGAGGAAGAAGGGAAAAAGAAAAAAAGTACAAGGATAGAGAAAAAATAATAACACAAAATAAATGAAGAGAGAAAAAAAAGTAAAACAAATGAGGACATAAAAAAAAATACTTATGTTATATTACAATAATTTATTTTCTATTATTTATTTTTGTGTATAAATAGTAAATATATCTAATTGGATAAATCAACTTATAGAGATTCTATTTAGGTAATTTTTTTATTTTAAACATATGATATCCCATTCATGTTGGTATCTCATAGCTTACTAAATAATGCCTGAATTCATTAAAAAAAAAAAAAAAGAAAAAAGAAAAAGAAAACATGGGTACAAGATCTAAACCCACAAATAGGTAAACTATCTAACCAATTAAACTTATGACAATTCACAACCCTTTGTATTAGAAATGAAACACTTAATCGAACTACTTGATAAGAGTACCAAATCGTGAAAGTAGTAATTTGGAAAGTTTAAGTATCATTTTCTAAGATATTTGTGCTCATTTAAACAATGTGAACGTGTAGTTAAAATAGACTTATAAAAGAAATTTAATTTTAAGTTTAATTTCTATAAGATACATAAATCAAGAAAGCAAGTAAAATAAGCGAAACTTAAATATTTATAATAAAGGATCACCGCATTGGATTTCATTGTCACATGATAAGTAGTTTTCTATTTCAATCACTTCTTCATTTTTCACACTTTATTTATCTCAGTCTAATCCCTTAGACCAAAGTTCTAAACTATCAATAAAATACTTTAATCTCTTAATTTACTTTACAAATAGTTTATATTAAGTTCAAGTGCTCATAGAGACTCAAAGTTAACATATTATGTCCAATACAGAAATCTATATAAGAATAAAACATGAACATTAAATATTAAGAATAAACACACACACAAAAAACATATATTTACGTATATATTGAAATAAAAAAGCTATAAGTAGTTTAGGTTCATTACATCCAACCTAATATGGAAATTATTCATTCATTGACATTCCAACTCATTAAAGGACAATGTTGAAAATTTTCAAGTATGAAGTACTCTAAAATATTTCCTGGTCACCAATAGTCTTTTTAGGATTTTCTACTCTCCTCAATATCTCTATGTTCCTCTTTGTTCAGATCTTCTTGGGTACAGTCTTCCAAAAATTTTTAACTCTTATATAATTTATGATTTTGGTCCTTCAAGCTTAATGAACATTTAATATATTTACTTATATATTTACAATTTTATCCTCTCAACTCCTTTTCAATTTTGTAACTCTCATATAATTTATGATTTTGTCTCACTTAAATTTAATGATTATTTAATATATTTAAATATATATTTACAATTTTATCCTTTTATCTTATTTTTTATATATATTTATTTATTATTTATTAATAATATATTATTTGAACCAAACAAATAATCAATATCGACCCCTGCATTTGGTGCACTTTTTTCTTCTATTTAAAAGTTAGTCATAAAGCACACATTCATTGGGCAAGCCAACCCTTCACTGGACGAAATGAGGCAATACATTCATTACAAAATTCATAGATTTTGTTAAGCAAGTATATATGTTCCTTCCACAAACTGGCACGTGAGCACCTCTTTCATCATGAGCTTCCCGTTGAACGAAATATTTGGTAGTTGAGCGAAATCTTTAGTTTTCAAATCTCTTCCTTTCACTTTCAACTTCCAACTGCTAAAATTTCACAAAATTCGAGTAATAATCTAACATATTACTTTCAAAGGCTCTTAACAAAAATTAAATTTATTTTTAACAAAATTGAAAGAAAATGCGTGACATGAATGTAAGAAAAAAGATTTAACAAGTGCAAGAAGAAATATCTAACCCAAAAAAATAAAAATACTCACTAGTGAAAAAAAGTTTTTTACGTCACTCAATTTTTGTAAATATTGAAAGCAACTTTTACGTCAGAATTCACACTAACTAACGTAAAAGCTAATTTTTAGATCGAGTGATACTTTATCGACGTAACAAACTATTTTTCGTGAACCCCTATGAGATCTGACGTAAACTGCAATGACAACGCCAACCCCGATTCGCATCCTCTTCTCTTAATATTCTTACTCTTTTTCTAAAGAAACAAGCAATGAGAGCAAAGGGAATTTAACTTTCTACAAAGGCGATGGTCGTTTCTTCTTATTCTGTGGGTCTTCTTGCTCCTTCTAGTACTGCTCATTCAACAACAAGTCATGACTACCATCACACCAGATCTCTTACCTCAGGTTTCAACACACTCTATTTCACTATCAAAAGTATGACTTTTGGTCTTCTAGTGTTAAGAGAAATCCTTATTTTCTCCCGCTCGATGTTGGAGTTGTGAAACTTCTCGTATCGCTCCACCTCCCTCTCTCCTTCGAGTACTTCTTCACCTTTTCCTCCCCATACACTAGAAGTGGCCCATGAGGTTATGGTTATTGGAACAGTTGCCTTGGGGATGGGGTTCCTGCTTCTTTTCTGGCATGACCAGTTTAATAATTTCTTTCTACACGATAGAAGAACCAATATCAATGCGCAGTTCTCAGTCTAAGCAAGACTCTTCTATGGATTAATGAGAAGGTGCAGGATAAAAGACAATTCGTCTATCTAAGTTGTTAAAGAGAAAATACTATTTGTGTGCAAGCAAAGTTTCAACTCACAATCCATTTCTACAGAACAGAGAATGGTTATGCAGGCGGGTGTTCATCTGTAGTTGCTGGTCTAGGTCGTGGGAATGGAAAGAAAGATGAATAGTTTGGTTAGCTTTGGCGGGAGAAGGAGACACTGATGGGGTTAAACTATTACAACAAAAACAAGTACATCAACCAAGCATATTACAATACATTTTACTTTTTCGATTAGTTAAAACTAAATATATCATTATAATTTTCATAAACTCAATTTAATCCCTAAAATTTTAAACAAAATAATGACTAAATAATTTAGTCACTATTATAGATTAAAATACATTATGATATCTACATCACAAAAATAAATTTTAAATTTTAAAATTATTTCAAAATTAAACGCTAAAAATTATAATCTCAATCAACCTTTAACAATAACAATTTTTCATTCATGCATTATTATTATTAAGATCCTAAAATTATTATTATTAAGATCCTAAAAATAATCATAAGTTTGATTTCAATGAAAAAAAAGAAATATAAAACACTAATCACAATCGCCCGAAAGATATCCAATTATTACAATCCAATAAAAAAAAACTACCACAATCACAAATAAATCAAAATATAAGTGTTGTGCTCACCATAACCAAAAAATGCTATCAGAGATCACCATACTATCAAATTCGATAAAAAAATTCTAATCTAAAATAAAAAAGGTTTACTCTTTCGGACATATACAAATTTACCTTAATTTAAAAAATTATCACTAGTACAACATATACACGTCACCTTAATTTGACATATACAAGTTCACCTTAATTTAAAAAATATTAATGTAATTTTTTAAAATTGGATAATCTATACAAATAAAATATTATTTAATAAAGATTTATTTTTAATAATTTTAATAAACCGCTGCAATATTTATTTTAATTAGAATGCATCTTGATTTTTACATTTTTCATAGTTAATGAGTGTGCATCTAGGTGAGAGAGAATGGTTTAGGAAGAAGAGAGTTGAGAGTTACATGTGTAAGGGACTATTTTCTCATTTCACGTCTTCTCTGTGTCTCCTCTGTCTCGACCTCTGCATCTCCTCCGCGTCTTCTCCGCATCCACCTCTGCATTCCTTTCGCGTCCCCCTCCATTATTCGTTGCACGCACGATCGACGAGCTCTCTGAAAGTTTGTTTCCAACCCCTAATATCATCATCAAATTCCTATTTTACATTTCCATATTTTAATCATTGTCCCTTCATTTGGATTCAATTTTGAGGTATCATTAGGGTTTAGGTTTCAATTTTGATTCTCTCTGGTTTCCTTCTAAATAATGTGATTGATCCTACTAGGTAACATCCAGAACATAGCATTCATGCTTACATAAAGCAACATATTTCTGTCATTTTAATCAACAATTTCAAGAATTGTACAAGTTGGTATGGAATTGGTCTATGGTTTAATTTTACCAACTAATAAGCGACATATAGATATATAAGTTGGTGCTTTCCATTTTGATGTTGAATTGTTCTTGACTTGATCCATGCCTAAGTGTGATGAAATATAGAATAAATTTGCAAATTGATATCTGGTTGCATAACTTACATACCCTGTTATTTGCATTCCACGTATTATATTTGTTGCAACTCACCATCACGAATGTTGTATTCTACAAAGATGCATTGGCCATTCAAGTGGGGAGTATCGTGAAAAACTGATTGGAGAAATATGTGCTAATGCATGCTAGCTCAAGATCAATACGAGTAACTATTGGACTCATAATAGTTTATAAAGAACAAAATTTATTTGACTGGTTTTCTTCATCCAGTTAGAATATCTAATTTCCATCTCAGAATTAAGAACGTTACCTGTATTCAAGTGCCATTGGCAATTTGTATAAATGTTTTTAGCCCATTTTACTGGAGGCCAAGACTAGTGGATATTGGAAAATGTGGTGATTACGCAACATCTTTTGTTCTGCACTTTCTTCTTTTACATAGATCATTCCTTGCGATAAGTGTGAAGAAGTGAATAGTACACTAGGAAACAAGATTATAAATACGTGTAAGATCAATTTTACAGTTTTTTTGGTAAAAGTTAAACTGAAACTTTTTCCTTATTGATTCTAAGCTGATTTCTCTGTACACCTTTCTGCTTGTATATCTCTGTAAAAACTTTACTAATAAATGTGTAAAGATAAAGTTTGCACTTGTTTTTAAACTATTAAGTTGTTTAACTAAGTTTTTTTAACTATGCATGATGGAGACAAAGTATATTTGAACATCTACTTGTCCTTTCACAAAAGTGTTATGAAAGGTACTATAACAAAAAAGGAGAGAAGGTGCACATATAGAAAGGGAATTTCTAGGGAGAGGGTACCTTTTTGACATATAAATGTTTCCCCTTTACCTGTGTTATATAAGCACAAGAGTGGCAACCGCCTTGCAGTAAGGAATTACATAAAAAGGAAATAAAGAAAATAGCAATTACAATCCAATCATTTGATGCTAACGGTTTTCCCCTTTTTACGTGTAGTGGGGAGTGAGACCACATAATCTATGAGGTGCTGAGGTTGGTGAGTCATCCTTCTAGATCTTTCCTCATGTGAGGCAGAGGAGCCTGTCATAGGACTTGGGTTTTCTATTGGGCTGCTATCATCTGGGTTATCCTGAGAAGAAGTAATAATAGTGGGCTTAATGATCCTAACATCTCCCCCTGGTTCGAAAAGCACCTTGTCCTCAAGGTGAAATTGTTGCTGTAAGAGTGGCCATGGCTCCTAGCTTGCTTCCTCCAAGGGCAGTCCCTTCCATTAAATAAGGACCAAAATTTGTGGGGGTGAGGTTGAATTGTCCCACTTCCAATCCACGATTGCGACTGGCTCAAGAATTGGCTGGTTTTTCTCAATTTCAGAAGGAAGAGATAGCGGTGAAGAAGGTAAAATACCCTTGTGAGGACGCAGAAGACTCACATGGAAAATATTATGGATTTTGCATCTACTGGGAGATCCAATTCGTATGCAACGTCTCCAATTCTACGTGTGACATAGAAAGGACCAAAAAAGCGTTTGATGAGTTTGGCCACTACTGTTCCGGTGACTGATGTCTAGCCACTTCTTCATTGCAACCTGAGCTTTTTGCAGATTAGCCTTTAGTTTGCAGAGTATTTCGTCGCGTGAAGATAGTTTGTACTAAACTGCCACATTAGAAGTATCATCCTTGAGCAGATGAGGAATAAGAGGAGGTTTGCATCCAAATATCACCTCAAAAGGAGTGAATCTGGTAGAAGAGTTTACGGAAATATTAATACTCCATTCACCCCAAGGTAAGAATTTGCCCCAAAGAGAAGGTTTATGATGGACAAAGAAGCGGAGGTACTGCTAGAGTATCCTGTTAGTAACCTCGGTTTGCCCGTCGGTTTGAGGGTGGTAAGCCATGGACATACGGAGCTTGGTGCCACTAAGACGAAAAAGTTCTCTCCAAAACTGGCTAAGAAAAATTGGATCACGGTCTAAAATAAGACTGTGGGGCAAGTCACAGTGTTTGCAAACAATCTCCACAAACAACTGAGCAACAAAAACAATATTGAATGATTTGGGGAGCATACCAAAATGGGCACCTTTGAAAAGCCTATCAACCACAACTAGGATTGTAGTGAAACTCTTATAAGGGGGAAGTCCTATAATGAAATCCAATGACAAATCTGTCCAAGAATGTGAAGGAGGAAGAATGGGTTGGAGTAAGCCCGGTGGGCGTTGAGTAGGAGCCTTAGTCTGTTGGCATGTGGGGCACTATTCCACAAAGTGTTTGACATCTTAGCGTATAGTAGACCAATAAAAATTGGCAGAGAGTTTACTAAGTGTTCTAAACACTCTTGTATGACCGGCCATTGGAGTGAAGTGAAACTCATGGAGCAGGGGGATAATTGTGTAGGAAGATGACAACCAAACCTTCCCCTTATAGAGAATAAGATCCTCGTTGAGAGAATAATGAGGCAGAGTATGAGGAGATGCAAGGATTGTATCCTTTAATTCTGAGAATTCCTTATTAGAAGCAAGAGTCACTTTGAGGTCAGATAAAAAATCTAAGTTAGGAACGGAAAGCACACAAAGACTTTGCTCTGGGGATTCCTCAATGCCAGAAAGAGCATCAACTGCGTTATTAGTTTTTCCAATTCGATATTGAATGTCAAAATCAAACCCCAACAGCTTGAACACATAGCCTTACTATTCTGGAGTAAGTACGGATTGATTGAGGAGCTCTTTGATAGAGCGTTGATTCGTTTGAATGACGAAATGCCTCCCTAAAAGATATTGACACCACTTGTGCACTGCGGACGTAATAGCACATAAATCATGAATATAAGCAGAGACATTGCTGAGTTTAAGGCAGAATGGCTTACTAAAATAAGCTATGGGGTGACCCTCTTGAGAGAGCACTGCGCCCATGCCAATTCCGGATGCATTAGTCTGTACCACGAAGAAGGAGTCAAACTTGGGAATGGTGAGGACGGGGGCCCTGAGAAGAATTTGTTTGAGGTGCTGAAATGCTTCTTGTGCTTGGTCATGCCAATGGAAATTATCCTTCTTAAGGAGATCCGTGAGGGGTTGAGCAATAGACGCGTATCCAGCCACAAAGTGTCTGTAAAAACCTGTAAGACCCAAAAATCCTCGAAGTGACTTAAGAGAAGAGGGGATCGACCAGCTCCGAATTGAGTCGAGTTTCTCTGGATCAGGTGTGACTCCCTTGGAAGAAATTAAGTGCCCCAAATATTGAATTGATTTGCGACCAATAAGGCACTTACTGCCCTTTAGACGGAAATCGTTGGAGAGCAATAGATGAAAAGTGGTTTCAAGGTGCAACATGTGGTCATTCAGAGTGGAACTATAGACCAAAATGTTATCGAAGAAGACAATCACGAATCGACAAAGATGAGGACGAAAAAGGTCATTCATGGTGGCTTGGAAGGTGGAGGGTGTGTTGCAAAGGCCAAATGTGACGACACTCGAATAGAAGGGAAATAATTTAGGGTTAGGTTTTAAGAGTTGATTTGATTGGAAATAAAAAACAAAAAAAAATAAAGGATACTGTAGGCGCCACAAATAAGAATATTTGATAAGCCAAGAAGGATCGCCACAAGAATCGAATAATTCTTGATAAGATTAAGTGATGCAAGGAAGAACCCTAGCAGAGCAACAACTCACAAAGTGATTCTGAATATTACGTACGTTCATTCTGAATTTCCAAATGTTTAATACAACTTAAGTTTATGAGTTTGTCTCATTGCAGGAAATAAAGATAAATTAAAATCCTAATATCCCAAGCAAAGTTAAGTTGCTCAGATGGTTCAGTGAAGGCATTATAAGCTTTGGATCTTGGGTTCAAATCCCCACTATAGCAAATAAAATAATAATAATAATAATAAAAACTAAATCTTTTAGTTGGGCCTCCTAGCTCTCCAAACATTCTATGCATGTGATAGGTCTAGACTCCTCCATATTTGGATCTTTTAATAGTTGAGCCTTTAGCAAATTGGTCACTTTGTATTGCAATGCCTCTTGTGTTTTTCTGAGCTTGTCGCTTGTCATAGGTCCACCTAAGTCTTGGATTGGATCTTGGTCTTGATCCTTCTCGTTATGAGTTTGGGCCTTTATGTCCACATCATTCCCTCCTTCTTGGGCAGCATTTGTCCTCAAATCTATGAATTCATCTTCTGCATCAAAAGGAGTCAAGTCAACAACATTAAAAGAGGAACTTACATTATACTCTCCTAGTAGATCAATCTTATAAGCATTATCATTGATATTCTCTAAGACTTGGAATGACCCATCTCCTCTAGGTTGAAGTTTATACTTTCTTTGTTCAGGAAACCTTTCCTTTCTCATGTGTACCCAAACCCAATCACCAGGTTGGAACACCACATTTTTCCTACCCTTGTTAGCTTGCCTCGTGTAGCTCTCATTCTTCTTTTCAATTTGAGCTTTTACTTGCTCATGTAGCTTCTTCATATATTCTGCTTTAGCCTGTGCTTCCTTATGCTTAAACATAGAAATGTTAGGCAAAGGAAACAAATCAAGAGGAGTCAAAGGATTAAATCCATACACAATCTCAAATGGTGAACAATTAGTGGTGCTATGGATAACTCTATTATAAGCA